ATGCATGCCTTTCAACACCTAATGACAAATTATGTTGAGGAATGCTTGGCTGCTGCAAGCAATGCATTGTTTGAAAATACCATATGTGTTTTATAAGAGCTGTCAGACATGATAGATCTGGGGCTTTCTTCCAAAAGAAGCCAGTTTCCATAACCTACGAGGTTCATAGTGCATTTTAGGACACTTTTGACCACATGCTTCACCTAATATGCTGTCACCTATCGACAAGATAAACAGCTGTGAGACATATTGTTGACATATCTGTTACTGGTAGAAAAATGAACACCATCACATCTCAGTTTCCAGGGAATATGATATGATAATGTCATGTTTTTGATGAATAGAATACCAAGGAAAGAGGAACTTCAGTTAAGGAAATAATAAATCCGCCTATGCTGTCATATTGTAATTTTAGTCTCAGTGGTTTTGATGACTTTAACTGCCTTTACGATATTTAAAATACTAATTATTTCAAAATGTTAATACATTCGTTAACATTCATTAATATACAAATTATTGACTTTGTCAACAGGACTGCTACATACTGAGAGCTCACATTAGCCGAGTTAAGGATATATGGGTTTTATATTTGCAGGGTACATAAGCCCATGCCCCATCTTAAAGTTTAACCGCTAATCGAATCAAAATATTTCATGCACTGAAAAATCAACCCATAGTTTAAAAAAAAAAATTAAATAAATAAATCTTTAGAAATAGAATATCTGAATAGCTATGAAATTGCCAGCCTATCCAGATGAACTCTGGCGCAAAGGTGAACTTGTCATTTTGAAGTCTAAGGCCACGTGTCTCTCAGTTGTGTAACACATAACACACGGTGTGCAAATGTAAAGCGCTGGACCTGTTGAAACTTTGCCTGTGTTAAGCCATCTGTTGCCCCATGCTACGGTCCCCACAGCTTCCTCTCTCACTGCGCATCAAAAGGCTCTGTGTTTGACAAAAAGGCCCATTCGAAACAGGAGTCAAGAACCCCATGAGATAAAACACACACCATGAAAAACATCCTCCCGCTGCACTGAAAAGGAAACTGTTTCTGTAGACAAAGCTCTGATTATTCGTTGCAGCTACATCCTACTACCCGTAAACAGTGCACACATACACTGATAAGATGCTCAGTTTTCAGATAGACGTATGAATATTTACTGCCCTGTAAACGTGCCGCATGATTCTCTGTATCACGCAGGAGCAAGTAAACTGTGCTGAGTTTAAGTGTCTAGCTGCAGTGAGAAGAATTTCAGATTGTTTTTCTGTTTCTCTTCCTCCTTCCTTCTCATCAAAGTCATCACCTACTGGAATCTTTAGGATTTTACAAGGTGATGTAATCAGTGCTGTTCCCTTATGATACATAAGCTATTAACTGATTTATAAGCTATTAACAGCGATGAATTACATTGCATGAGAATGCTTTAGCTCGAGAAGGCATTGTTAAAGTGTAGTGTAGTATTACTGTAAGTACTTATCTACAGACAGTAAACCTGTGGGTGTGTCTTTGTTTAGTTTACTGTAACTAAATATATGAGGGCAGCGGCAAAGACAAACTGTTCTTTGTTGATTGAATTAAATGAATTAAAGCCTTAAAACTGATAGGAACCAGTGCTGGCTTCTACTGTAGTCTGCTGTAGTCATTTTACTGTTCAGTGTAACCTCCTTCTGTGTTCCATCAGGAAGGATATCTCTGTGTAAAACTGCCAAATTAAATAAGCAGAGAAGATGAAAGCATTTTTAAAAAATAATTTCAATGCTCACTGTCTTAAATATACATATATGTAAACATATATAGTCATAACTTGTAAAGATTTTTATATTTTTGCTGACATTACCCCAAAATAATTTGATTAAAATCTTTTTTCCCCGCTTCCTGGACTTTCTTGTACTTCTACCACCATCTTTGCTTTTCGCTGCTTCACATCTCTCGTAGTTTCTCATTTTTTGAGTGCTGCGCCCCTCTCTCTTACAGTAACCCTGCTGCAGCTTCATGAGATGCCTTACATTTGAACTATTTTAGCAAGTTCTGGAAAGAAGTGTGGATAGATAAATCATTTTATTACAATTTTTAAACAAGTGTCTCTAGAGCGTGCAGCAGATTGCACTGCCTTGCCGTGAGTTTGCTTTAAAGAATAGGGAAAAAAGAAACATGACCTCATACTCTAAAAGTAATGCGACAATAACATAATTATAGCTCGTAATGCTGAATGACTATGTGGTGATATTTGTTATTGCATTACTGGTATTTGTGGTATAAATGACTGGCTACAAGGTGACCAACCTTATGGTTGAAAAAGACCATGGGTGGGGATTTAGTTGAAGAATGAGTTTATGTACACATTGAATAGGTGAGCAGAGAAGAATAAGTCTTAAATAAATTATCCTTCAGTTTTAGTTTATGTGTTGGATTTTTACTCCATCACTCCATTCTAAATATTTGCATCCTGTGCTTACTGTTATTTGAATGTTTAACTTCCTGTATTACTTCTGCTAAAATGACATCATGATCTGACCTGTTCTCAGGAATGTATCTCTAATCTTTGTTATGGTAACAAGTTTGCTGTACGTCAGTAGCTGTGATTCACAGAGCAGGTTTACTCACTGTTATTAGCTCATTTTGACCATCAAATGTTAGGTGACACAGGCCTTGAGTGGCTTACCACGTCTCATTGGCAATTCCCACAGACTCCAGGTCCCTGGTCACATTTAAATGCATTAGTTATATATAAGATAAGATAAGATAACCTTTATTAGTCCCACACGTGGGAAATTTGTTTTGTCACAGCAGGAAGTGGACAGTGCAAAAGTTATGACGCAAAAATTAGAATACAATAAGAATAAATACAGTACACAACTGTACAGAATAGAATAAAATAATATACTATATACAGTAGAATAAAATAGAATAAAAATATACAATAAGATAAAAATAGAATACGAATGCTATATACAACTGAGTAAAAATACAACGATGCCAGAAAAGATTATTGCACTTAGTGTTATTGCACATGTGTGGATGTGTGTGTTTGTTCAGTTAAAGTCTTTGTTGTGGAGTCTGACAGCAGTGGGGAGGAAAGACCTGCGAAATCTCTCCGTCCCACACCGTGGGTGCCGCAGTCTCCCACTGAAGGAGCTGCTCAGTGCTGTCACAGTCTGCTGCATGGGGTGGGAGATGTTGTCCAACAGGGATGACAGCTTAGCCGCCATTCTCCTGTCACTCACCACCTCCACTGGGTCCAGAGGGCATCCTAGAACAGAGCTGGCCCTTCGGATCACCCTGTTCAGTCTCTTCCTGTCCCCAGCAGAGATGCTGCCGCCCCAGCAGACCACACCATAAAAGATAGCAGAAGCCACCACAGAGTCATAGAAGGTCTTCAGGAGTGGGCCCTCCACTCCAAACGACCTGAGTCTCCGCAGCAGGTACAGCCTGCTCTGCCCTTTCCTGTAGAGGGCGTCTGAGTTATGAGTCCAGTCCAGTCTGTTGTTCAGATGAACACCAAGGTACCTGTAGCTGTCCACAGCCTCAATGTCCATACCTTGGATGTTCAGTGGTTGCAGTGGAGAATGCTTGTGCCTGCGGAAGTCTACCACCAGCTCCTTGGTTTTACTGGCGTTGATCTGGAGGTAGTTCAGCTGGCACCAGTCCACAAAGTCTTGAGTCAGTCCTCTGTACTCCTTGTCGTCCCCATCAGTGATGAGGCCGACTATTGCAGAGTCATCAGAGAACTTCTGCAGGAAGCACTGGGTGGAATTGTGGGAGAAGTCTGCAGTGTAGATGGTGAAGAGGAACGGAGCCAGAACCGTTCCCTGTGGGGCCCCCGTACTGCAGACGACCCTGTCCGACACACAGCCCTGAGTCCTCACATACTGTGGTCGGTCGGTGAGGTAGTCCAAAATCCAGGTAGTGAGGTGATGGTCCACTCCAGAGTTCTCCAGCTTGTCCTTCAGAACCGAGGGAAGAATGGTGTTGAAGGCACTGGAGAAATCAAAGAACATGATTCTCACAGTGCTTCCAGCGGTCTCCAGGTGAGCGAGGGAACGATGTAGGAGGTGAATGACGGCATCATCCGCTCCAATGCCAGGCTGGTAGGCAAACTGAAGTGGGTCCAGTGATGAGCTTGTTAGGCGCCGAAGCTGAGCCAGGACCAACCGCTCCAGGGTCTTCATCAGGTGGGATGTCAGAGCCACCGGCCTGTAGCTGTTGAGGTCCTTGGGGCGTGAAGTCTTTGGCACTGGTACAACACAGGAGGTTTTCCAGAGCTGTGGGACTCTTCCCAACCTCAGGCTCAGGTTGAAGAGGTGCTCCATCACCCCACACAGTTGGTCCGCGCAGGACCTGACGACCCTAGTCATTATTTCTGTTAAATACTTCCGAGATTATCTTTTTCTACATTTTCTGTATGTGTGTTTTCAAAATCTTCACAATGAAAAAACTGCACACTGAATGTGACAAGTGTTTTTCTCAAGGAGACTTTCTGATGTGCCACAAAACCACGAGTGTAGTAGTGTGTACCTGGGAAACCTGACAGCGCCATTGTCATAGCTATCAGGAACACTGACACCTTTCCTACTAGTCATAATGTGACCTGTTTGGCTCGGCAGACTCAGTCAAAGGGGCAAAAATACTGTGTTTGGGTCAGGTAGAGCGGCTCATGTTTAGACTGATCAGTCCCAAAGTAAAATGCAGTTATTTTTCATCAGCCTTCACATATCATATTCTTGAATGAAAATGGATCATATTTTAACCCTGGAGAACCCATGGGGTCAAATATGACCCCATGGGTTCTCCAGGGTTAAGACTTTATATGCACAAGCAGGCGACAGCAAAACCCACGTTAGGCCTTGGTTACAGGCCTTCATGTACTTAGCTGCATAAAGCTGATTTACAACTCTGTCTAGTGTACCTCTGCTGACACCTGGTGGCAATTATGAGTTACTACAAACGGCCTGATATTGACTTTACCGCGTAACGTATCCTAATGGAACAGCATCACATGAATAATTTTGTAAAACCTGTGTGGACTTTATTTGACTATATTTCATATCGTTTAAATACTTTGACGTTAATAGTAAAATGACAGTTTCGACAGAAACTTTGCTAAAGGGATGACTGCCCCTTTAAGAGCGGCGACCAGCTGCTCAGCGCCCAATCGCGGCGCGTAAACTGAACTTTGTTGTTGTCAGCAACTAAGAGCTAACTGTTAGCTAGCGTTAGCCGGACACCGAGCTAAAGAGGCAATATCTTGCACCCCATTCGTCCTAATAACGGAGGAAAGCACGGTAACATTTAGCTTGGACAGCTACGAACGTAAACAAGTCGCTTCCATCAGGATTTCGCCTCCGATATCAACAAAAATGACATCTGCGCTGGTGAGTTTAACTTGCTGCTTGAGCCACTGAGATGAAGTTCGTTTCTTATTTGTGGTTTCCACAATGTTGCTTATTGGTTAAGAGTTAAAGGTCGATATATCTGTAGATTTATTACAATACATCATATATTTTTTTATTTAATATGGACCCCTTTCTTTTTGCTGCTTGTTTTAGCTTTATTTAGAGCGAGAGCAGATTATAAATCAGGGTAATTTTACTCTTAGTCTGGATTAAATGTCTGTGAAGTCGTAGCAAAGTGACTCATTACTCAGTCTGCTGAGTGTCCAATGTAATATATACATTTATACTAATGTAACAACCGCCCTGTGCAGTCACGACAGCCACATATGTTATGTAAATGATACATTTGTGAAAGTTTAATGGTATCGTTTCACTCATTTGTCATGATCTAAATTGCCTTTGCAGATTAAATGCATCATTTTGCCGACAAAGTGACTAACAAGCAATTAATATGCCAACAATCTGATATTCTGTGTACGGTAATTACAGTATATTGAAGTTATAAGAAAAAGAAAAAACGATAGAGTAATTTATGCCACCATACACTCACCGTCCACTTTATTAGGTGCACCTCGCAAGTGCTGGGTTGAGCAGCCTTTTTGCCTTGAGACCTGCCTTAATTCTTTATGTGAAGCTGCGGTTTTGGTCCATATTGACATGATCGCTTCAGGCAGTTGCTGCAGACTTTTCGGCTGCACATCCATCGTGCTCCACCACATCCCAAAGGTGCTCTTTTCGATTAAGATCTGAGTATGCCTATGTGCTTCAAGGCTCAACAAGTTGTGCATTCAGAGATGCTTGTAACCAGTGACAAACAAAGAAGAAAACAAGCTTATTTTAAGTTTGCATAAACTAAACCTCATTTTCAAGAAAGGTTGGTCAAAACCTCTCTTTGATGAACTCCAAGAGTAACTCATAAGACACTATGACAATATATATTCTGTGCAATACAGTCATGCACCATACACCACAGTATCTGGTAACTGAAGGGAAAAAATATACTCTTTAAAAGTCTTTCCCGTTCTTTCCTTGTGAGGTTGTTATTGTTAATATGAAGTAAGATAACTCACTTTATAATTTTCTTAAAAAGTAGTGACGTGTGCCAGACTAGCAGGGAACTCCTACATCTTTTGATAAACAATATTTGCTGCCAGTGAATGGATCACACGTGGAACCAAAATGATAGATTTCAGTATCAGTATTTGCCCCCACTCCTAATTTGTAGCAGGTTATTAATGACATTTAACTTAATTCAAGTAACGATCCTGTTAGTCGTACAACTTAAAATCCCAAATAAAAAGTAAATGTGGGTTTACATAATATAATATAAAGATGCATTTAAGAAAACAGCATTAAATGAGGCATGGTTACAGGGAATATCGCTAATAAGAGTCAGTTTTCTATTAAAAAATACAAATCAGCAAGAAACCAACTTCAGTAAGAGAATATTTTCTTTATTTACACATAGATGTTTGTAAAAAAAAAAAGGTGCAGTTTAGAAAAAAAATAGTACAAAATTCTACTAAAAGCAAGTGACTCAAATATGATCTATAACTGTTTCTACTTTCTGTCTTTCTGCCATTTCAAAATCTCAACACTCGACACCATATTTGTCAAAGTGTCTCGTGATGATGCCCAGCTCCAGCTCCACAGTCCCCATGGCTTCGGTGTGCAGTCTGTATCTGTCCGCCCCGCTGTAGATCAGGTCAGGGCTGAGGAGCTGGGGACCTCCGCCGACGAACATTTGCGCCAGCCGTTCTTGCCAGGAGCCCACGGGCCTCCAGGTCGCACATCTTATTCGGTGATGTCCCGGACTAGAAGGGACGTGGCAGAAACCATAACCATAGAGTTGGCACCGTCCGAAAGAATCTTGATGCCACACCTCTAGGTGAATCTTCGGCCAGCCTTGCAGCCCTTTGGTCGCGTAGTGCAGATCGATCGGGTGGCTCCAGTACGCTATGTCTCCGATTTGGGGGCTATCCACCTGGGTCTGACCCTCCTTCAGCCCGGATAAAAGCCGCCATGCTTCTCCCGTATGAATTCCCCATTTGCAAAACAAAGTCTTTTCCGGGAAACCACTTGCACCAATGATCTGCCCTATAATGTGCAGCTCTGCCATGCCACACTGGTTCACTTTGACTAGAAAATGTGGCACGGAAAGTCCTGTTTTGTCTCTCCGATGTTAACGGCTAGCTTAGCGGCTAGCTAAACTAACGGCTAAACGTCTCT